GTTGCTGCTGCTCCTGCTGCTGCTGCTGCTGCTGCTGGAAGTAGAGGTTGCGGACCCCCTGCGTGGTCTCCCAGATCTGCATCCACAGGCGGTTCGAGGGGCCGAGCTGCTCTGGCTGGAACCAGGCTATCCGGGGATCCATCAAACGGGGACCCACCCCGGCTGCTCCGCTCCCCGCGCCGCGCCGGCCGCCGCCGCCGAGACCCTGTCAGCGGGTCCCAGCGCTAATGGCGGCTCCTATGGAAGGGCAGCTCCGCGCCTGCCTGCTCGCTGCTGCCGCCGTCGCTCCACAGCCCCCGCCCCTCCTGGCGAGCGCGGCGAGGCGGGGCCGGGCCGGGACAGCCGGCGGCACGCGGGGCCGCGCGCAGCTCGGGGGGCGGCAGCGCCCCGGCCGCTCCCCCGGCACGGCCGGGAGCGGAGCCGAGCCCAGCCCGGAGCCCAGCCCGGGGCCGGGAGGCTCCTCTCTCGGCACGGCCGGTGCGCGGCGGCCCCGCGGGGCAACAGCCGCGCTCGGGCGGCCGAGCCCTTGCACCGGCCCCACCGCTGCCAAACCCGCCGGGCACAGGGACAGGCGGACCCGGACCGGCGTCACCCCGACAGCCGCCGCTGCTCTCCCCTAAAACTCTTCTGGGGATGGTCACAGATACTTCTGGCTCTTCCTGCCTTTCATTCAACTCCAAAGCAGAGGGAAAGGCAGCCCTGGGTACAGCCCTGCCTGCAGATGGAAAAACACATCGCACACGACGCCCCAAACAGCGACACGGAGCAGCACCAGTTCTTGTCAATTTCAGTTTTATTTTTAGTGTTTTCGTACTACAGCCTTAAAACATCTTTAATATCGGCTACAAAGTTTCCAGCACGCTGCATGGAGGGCCTGGTGCTTCTTCCCCCAGTGACAAATTGCACGGGAGAGGATTTCTCTTTAGGAAGCTGGAGGTGGAGGTTTTGGAATTAAAAAGTCACATTCCAATTCCAAGCGTCCCACGAAGTTTGCAAAGAAGACGACTTAGCACCACTTCCTGGTGACAACCAAAGACTGAAGTTTTGGCTTCTCCCCACCCTCCCAGAGCAGGACATTTTTGTCCTCAACTCTCCTCTATTCTGTCACGGCATGTCTGATCTGCATTGCCCAAGAGAAAACCAACCACAGCAAGCTGTGGTTGAAATTTGAGGTTTGAGTTGACAAACCTAATTGCTTTGAAAATTAGGATTTTTACCTAAACCTACTACCAAAAGCCAAGTGGAAGCTGGTAGGACTTTAACACACCTCGGAAATGGGGAAAGCCCACTATGAATAACCCTATTTTCCAAAGCCCGTATTCTTCAGTTATTCTGAAAATTATAAGCATAGCAGGAAAAGACAATGAAAAAGGTCTATCCTGATGTTTCCTGCACACCAAAGATGCAAATAAAAAGGTTTGAATTCATAAACTTTTAATGCAACAGAAAAAAGCTTAAGTCAAATAAAGGCTTTTGTTGTTCTTAAGGAGATAACAGTAACAGAAGAAAAAACTGGTTTGTTTTCTTTACTTTTTTAATAAAGTTAATTCTGCAAAACCCCATGATTTGGTCTACACTCGCAGCACATAAATACAAACAAGTTTTATTATAAGACTGAGGTTTATTAATTTACAGGATTCCTCTGTAGCAACCCTAGTCCCAAGCAAATACAGCCAGGACATGACACAAGTACCACAAATGCTTTAGATAAGGAAGTATACCCAGGTAGGGGGGCATAAAAAACAAACAAAACCCACACTTAATTATGGTTTGGAGTGTTTTGTTTAATCAACACTCTGAATTTAACTCTTTTACTCACTAAAAAGAGAACTTGCCAGAAAAGGTTATTCAGAAACATCATGCATTTACTGGCTGAATCAGCCGTTCTTCCGTTAAATTCTGGAAGTGCTTTTCACTCTCCATTTGAAGGGGAGGGGAGGAGGAAAGAGGCCAATGCAATATTCCTTAAAAGTTCTAAAAAAAAATTCATATGTCAGAGGAGAGAGAAAACAATCCTTGATGGGACTTCTATCATAACAGGCACACAAAACTGGAGAAGGTTTACTGAAATCCCAGTGCATCTTGAAGCGCTGGTACATGATTTATGTGAGCACCTCACAACCCCAGGGCTGCATCAGGACTCTCCCTGTGTTGAGAACACGTAGCAGCCACGATCATTCCAACTGCATATGGATTGTTACAGTAGGATCTTAGTTCACTTCCCAAGCTGTTTGATTTAAGCCCATAATGTAGCAGTAATGCAAGTTCCTGAAACCCAGATCTGAGGGGAAAAAAGGCATCTTACCATATCCGTTTGTGTGCAAGTCTCAAACTATGTTTTATGTGGTCACTGAACTATGTCTGTATGTATGACAAAATGCCTCTCACAGAAACAAGAAACTTGCAAAAATAACACAGAAACAAAATGAAATTGAAGTGAATTGTCTTTAACATCTCCTATTTTTCCCAGAAGGCACAAAAATTAACAGTTTGAATTTATATGGAAATTAGACCAAAAAACCCCAGCAGTCAATAAAAGCTTCTTCAAACAGGAAGGCTCACCATTATTGTCAGCCCTGATGGAAAAACTTCAAGTTCCTTAATCTGACCTGACTGTCAAGAGTTTTCAGTTTTTGCCAAATACCTTACTGTTATATATCTTAACAGCATGTCCAGCTCAAACTATATTTAGACTGTTTGCTCAAGTCACCTGTGCCAAAAAGAAACAATTACATTATTTTCAATTACCACTGCCATTGCCTGAATTGGAATTTGCGAAAGTAAATGTAAGGCTAGATGTTTCTATCCAGTCCTCTGGAAATGCTTCTACTGAAAATCACTTACTAAGAAAACAGAACTTGAGTTTATGGGCATTTTTGGTTGGGCTTTTTTTATGTTAATATTCCACAAGATATGCATTTCATTTATAACATTTAAACTACAAACAAATCTTAAATTAATTTGTTTTCCAACACAGTTCTTATTTTGTAATTTTATTGTGCTCTCATTTTTTATATATTTTTCTCTTAAAATACAAACATAAAACCAAGCCAAGTAGTACTGGTTGAAGTTATTCTTGTTCCTCTAAGATGACAATCCTTAAAAAAACCACATGCTATGCAAAACAATACCTTCAACACACACCATAACCCCCAAATAGTTCAGCTATTGACTCTACTGTGGTATACAGCCATCTTCTGAATGTCAAGGCATGATGTATAAAAAAAGTACTTCAAAACAAAAGCTCATTTAAATCTTGCCACTTGTTTCTTTTCGTAGAGGGTAAAAATAAAACCATACAGCAATGATAACTCCTTCTTTACACAGTTGGGGATTCAACATTTTGCAGGCTGCAGAAACTAAAGCAGCAGCAAATGCCAGGGTCCCACTGCTCCTGAACAGGGCAGGAGGCCCACAGCCCCCTCCACACTCTTTACTTGACACCACAGACCGATGTAAATTCAGCACCTATTTTGGTATTACATCTCAAGACTCAGATTCTGTTGTGCTCAGTGTCAGACAGGGAGACAACTAAAGCAGCAATCCATGCTTTCCAAGGATTGCAGTTTTTAACTGAAGTACAGACAGATGATGCCTTAGGGATCAGAATAAGGGATCAGAATAAGCAAACAAATTCAGACACCTGTTTTGATACCAGTCTTATCTGTGTGATTACATGAACTGATGAAGATCACTTACATCTATTTAGCATCAATTTACTTATGCTGCACACTGCCTAGATCAGTCCAATTTCTGCCACCCTTTAAGTATCTTCAAGATCTGTCTTTCCCTTTGGAGGTTGTCAAGGATCTTGCCTTCATCTGAAGCCTACCCTAAACCTACTAAAATAAACCAGTGTCAAGAGTGCCCAAAACATTTAATTTGCACATCATCACTTCTGCTGCTGCCTTAATTTTCCTTAATTGCATCAGAACAACTTTCATAGCCCTAATCTTACAGTTTAGCTCTTCTGTACCTATATATCTCATCTGGCTTTAGGCCATGATCTGACACTTCTTTAAATCACTGATAACTTGCTTGTCTTCCATAGATGCAAGTCTTCAGAAGTTATCCATGTCTTTCTATTATTTCCATCTTGTCCCTTACAAGCACGATGTGCTCTCTAAATTAACATACAAATTTTTTACCTCTCACTCAGACACTGACCTGGCAGCTGGGCAGATGACAGAGTAAGATTTTTCCCATTCAGAGAAATAAAAATACGGACATCAAAATACACAGTTGGCTTAATATTATTAGATAACTATAGTATCTTAGAAACCCCAAAGGAAGATGGAGGCTCCATTTTGCCATGGGCCACTGGTAAGGGCAATAGACTTTGGCAAAGATCTTACAACACGGGATATTAGGAAATCACATCTAATGTCATTAATATTAGCAATGGAGTACAAAAACACCTCCCAAGAGCTCCAGCTCACCTTGCTATCACCCAAACATACCTGGTGAGCTGGAGACAGGGCCACCAGCTTGTCAGTGTTTCATGCTCTCAGCCAAACAGGCCCACTGAAGTGCTCTGGTTTCCTCAGATGGAACAGGTGAAGGGATTGTTTTAGGGTTGGTATGTCAGGGGTTTAGTACAAACTTGCAAGAAAACAAAATGCTTTCCTGTGCCCTCATTTCTCTTTCGGCTATTAGCTTGAAATGGCATGTGTACCAGAAGATAGAAGCACTAAAAATCATATACTTCTGCAAGCAATATGGTTCATACTATGCACCTGTGACACAATATTTAAGACATTCAACTGATCAGTGCATAGCAAAAAAATAATCTATGCATTCCTACTGTCAGAATAGTGTAAGATCTAAATGTCAGTTTGTTTTTTCACTTGAAGGAAAAAAACATGGTCTGATAGACTGTATTAAGAAAACAATTTTTTGTAGCGGATGCCCTATCTTCTATATATTTTTCTGCAACTTTCGGATTCGTATTTGAAGAAGAAATGTTTCCTCTCATTATTAAACTAAAAGAAAACCCCTAAACAGAAAATAACATACTCTATTTTTCCAACAGTCCCCAGGAACCAGATTCTGACTGCTACACTTGATGTAAAATGCAAAGTCCTACACTTGGGACAGTTATCCCTTGAAACAGAGCAGGCTCTTGACTGAATGACCAAAGAGCAGCTTTGGAGAGATGGACCAAAGGGTCCTGGAGGACAGTAAGTTGAAGAAAAGTCAGCAGTGCACCCTTGCAGTGATGACAGCTAACAAATAACAGGCTCTATTGGCAGGAGCATGGCCAGCAGGTTAAGAAAACTGATTACTTCCCTCTATTTAGCACTTATGAGATCACATTTGAGGAAGTGTGTTCAGTTTTGGGTCCCTCAGTACGAGGCACAGTAGAGCAGGTCAAGCAGAAGGCCATTAGGATGGTTAGAGGGTCAGAACTCCAGCTAGTACAAGGAAGGGCTAAGGGAGCTGGGTGTATTTGGCCTGAAGAAGAGGGGAATTCAATTGTTGTTTTCAGCTAACAAGTGGGGGTTATGAGATGAAGCCAGACTCTTCAAGGTGGTGTGCAAAGGACAAGAGGTGCATTTTGCAGCAGGGGAAGTCCTACAAGGCACAAAGGGGAAAAGGAAAAAAAAAGAATTTCAAGTGAGGGCAATCAAGCCCTGGAAAAGGCTGCCATAGCTGTGAGATTTCTATCCTGGAAGATGTTCAAGGCGTAGCACAACCTGTCTGACTCCAGAGACTACACTAAGAGACCTCCAGAGATCCTTTCCAATCTAGATCATCCTCCAATTCAATGTAGCACCCAGAAACTGAGAGCAGAACATCCCACAAGGAAGTCCTTTAAGGGCTAAACAAATATTAATACCTTTCATCAGGCTAATATTATACTGTCCTCAGTGTACAGCAAGTATAACTAACACAAGGATTAAAATCCACACACTGTGCAGTCTTATGCCATAATCCACCTTTCCTCAGGTGTTACACTCCGGCCCTTTTCACTGCCTGCCCTTCCAAATCCCTGGATAACCTCTCGACCGTGCTGCTCATGACTTCTCCTGGATTTCTCCAGGCCATGCTCAGTGACCCTGGAGCCCTCCCAGTCGCACACTCTCACTCGTTTGATTAGCAGGCATCACATCACACATTTCATCTGACTCCTGCAAAGTCACAGCAGTGACAGGACTTCCAGGCAGTAGAGCTGCTTAAACTCATCTTTCACTTTCTCTTGCATTTGACAAAATACCATATGCCAGGATTTCATAAAGTCAGTAATTTGCAAGTTATCCAGTCAGTTCCCAAGTCTGCTTTCCAATCTTAGAGACTGAAATCTAACAAACTGAGCAAATTTGGTCTTTATAAGTTCCATGCTTAACACCATGGGCAAAATTTTGCCAAAAACTAGATGCCTGTGCTAAGACAGCGCATTAAGAGAGAGGGGAAAAACCCTCCTATTTCAAAACCCAGCACAACAAAATACTTTTGTGTTTGGTTGTGTTTTGGTTTTTTTCTTGAAAAATATGTATGATAGAATGTCATTCAAAGAAACAAAACCAAAGTTCTTGATATATGGAAGTCTACATACAATCTTCATGAATCGGTGACATTTTTGAAAATAACAGCTTAAAAATCTCCATCGCAAATATTTCTAAAAGGTATTTTAAGCAATTATAAATTTACTTTAGGTAATACCTCAATATAAAAAATGTTTTTTATTTGGCTTATTACTTCCTTGAATTCACATTCATCCTGATGTAGAATTACAAGGAAGAATGTAAATTAAGACACTTGATTTTCAGAAATACCAATCGAAATAAAGTAAAAACCGGTAGCTGCATCTAAGTGTAGGATCTGCTTACACAGATTTCCACAGCAAAAAGCCATCATAAATGAATCTGAAACAGTTTTCTCCTCATGAAATAACAGAACCAAGTGCTGACAGGAATCTACACACTTGTCACAAACTTCTCTTGGGAAGCTTGCCACAAGTGCCTGTGCAATTCTAGGAACAGGTAAGAGCAAACAGCAAATAAGAACATTCTGCCACTGCTCGATTCCCTTAAATATATCTTGAGCTTTTTAATTTTTTTTCTTGATCTGGCACCTAACCGAGAATATTCTCCAAATTACCTCTTCACGCAATTATAGTTTTCTGTCAGGGTACATGAAGATTTCTGAACAACGACAGTGGTGCTGTGTACAGACCTCAGGGCTGCAGGAGCACCTTCTTATCACTGCAACAATCTCAGAGTATGCTACGGGGTTTTTTGTGCTGGTGTGACTTACATATTGCATCAACCCAAGTGTATAAAAATACTGAACAATACAAAATGTAGTATTGACATCAAAGCAAAACTGCTCTGCTCAGTAAATTTTAGAAGTTCAAAATGGTTATATTTTTTGAAAACCTTACTCAATAAGGGAAACCTTAAAAGTTCTTCGATGTTTCAAGTTGGAGTTTTCCCTAGTGTCTCCTGATATGCAATGAATCTTCTCAAATTCATCCTCACATTGTCAAGAACACACAGTTGATCTGTACTACATTGTCCTTTGCCTTCTTTTCGCATCTGTAAAACCAAAAAAAAAGTACACGCTTTACTAATGCAGAGGTTTCTCCTATTAGATCAGTTCAAGTTTACTGTAATTCTATATAGAGGTCTTCTGTCAGGATATGCTACCCACGGCTTTTGAGAACTCCAAGGTGCTCATGTGCACATGTGGAGCTACTCAATTTACTCAATAATTACTCAATAATACATTCCTGCCTAAAACTACATTATTGGTATGATATTTCACTCAAATATCTGAAATATACACTTTGTTTTCTGCAGCTTTTTATATGGAAAACCTTGTACATCTAACCACACAACTGAAGCACCATCAGGTATGTATTTTGTGTGTATAGTGCTTAGCTTTTAGACTATGACAGTCACTCCTCGGGCTTCATCTGATCAAAGAAACAATAGGTGGAAGGTCATTCCCTAAGACAAGGATGTACCTAAAATTACAGTTTAGAATGCTGGCCTTGTTATTCCTGAAAACACAGAATACATGATCTGTTTTAAATAACCAACAGCAGAACAAAAGCATCCACCTGCAACTACAAGAAGTAAAAAAACAAAAGATGTCAATGGAACTTCAGAAGAGACTTCTCTCCCACCAGTTTAGCTGCACTCCTCCAGAGACACCTGAAGGATTTTTTTGCAAGTGTTTCAGAACAATGTAGTGATTTGGACATCAATAATACTGACAGTGTAATGTAGATGTTGCAACAGAGGTGCTGTGCTATCACATTGACAGTTCCATGAACTTTAAGGTAAGTGTATTTGCTTTCCTCTGAAGTGGAATATCAGAAAATTACACACTTTTTGGGTTTTTTTGCCATCTTACAAAGTTATACAATACTGCTTAATTATTTCTTCTAGGAGCTCAAAGCTTTAATGCACATTGTGTGTTGAGACCCTGAGCTGGCTGCACTTGATGCCTACCCTGGTTCTGAACACTGGCTGAAATTCCTTCAGTGTTGGAAGCAACTTGATCTGCACCGCCGCCTTTTCTGCTTCTTTACCATCTGCAAATACATCAAAAAGTGCATCCAAGGCTTCCCCTGCTACCACAAGAGAAGATTCCTTCATAGCAACTTCAAGAAGAAATTTTCCAATCATCTGAAATAAGAGAGAAAAATTGATTTTTCCAACAAGGGAAAATTGAAAGAAATATCAAAATTCGTATAGGTTTGCAATGCAAAGTTTGCTTTTTCACCTTTAGTGTTTCAGCTGTATCTTGTCCTTTTGCCAGGACGCTGCCAGAAATTCCAAGGATGCTCACTACGTTCACTCTAACACTGGCATTGCTGCTGCGAATACCAGCTTCACATAAAGCCAACAGCTGCTCAGGAGTCATACACTGCAAACAAGGGGAAGGGAGGGAAAGAAGGAAGACATTCACACTTTCATGGAAATTTTCCAATGTGACATTTAGCTACTCTGCTTTTCCAGAACACAGGGAAATTTATAATAGAGAAATAAAGAGCCCTGGATTATGAAAACTACGTGAATTCTGAAAATGTAATTACCAAGAACACAGTTAAATTCTCCCTTTCAATTTAAGATGTTTCTTCCAGAACATAACCAATGCTGTCATGAAAGTGAAGGAAAGTTCTAAGCCCAAAGGTATTTTCACAAATGTACCTTGCTCAATAGCTGCTTCCACCTCATTATAACTCACAGTACAGAAGCTCTCATTTTTCAGTTCAAAGCCAGAAAGGACCAGCAGACCATCTAGTATTATGTCTTGTATAACAAAATGCTTCACTCTTGTATTTAGCTCGCTAATTCATGTCCAACCAAAATTCTAGAAGGACAACCAGCTTCAACTAGGTGACATCAAGAAATAAAGAATGCAGATTTATAGGTGCTAATTTACTAAATATTTGTCATTATACTCATCTCCTAAAGATACTACCTGGATTTTCTTGTTTTGAAATACCTTTCATTTGTTTACATGTTAAGGAAAACAAAACACTATTACTGTAAGGGCCATGAAAAACACTAAGGGTTGATGCTATTAAATCTGTTCTCTCAGTGTCTGCACCTGCTACTTTGCACTTAATTTAAATAATTTTGTTTCAAAAACTTTCCAGCCCAATCTCACCCAAATTTGAACCTAGCAGAGCATTTGAGTTTGAAAGCTTTTACCTGGGAGATGTTCTTTGATGCCATTGTTTGTAGGAGAGCCCTCAAAGCACTGGTTATGGCTTCCAGGAATTCAGTGTCTGCAGGGAGTTCTGTCAAAGAATTGAACCCAGAGCCAAAAGTTAAACAGTAAGATGAGGGACACAGGAAGCAAAGAAATACAAATGCCTTAATCCCTTAATTGTTCCTCCAGGTACTACCACAACAGGAAAAGCTAGATTTTCAGAGTAGTCTCTGTAGGCTGTAACCATAGTGATTTCTTTGAATTCAGTATTAAGTGCATCTGGAGGTTAGACCACAGCTGGTCCTCATTTTCAGGCACATCCCTGGTTGAGACACTTGTGTGACCTGAGGTATGGTACAAACCACTGCCATCAGAACAGCAGCTTGAAAACTGGTATAACATGGAGGCCATAATATAGGAACTGAGAAAACTACAGAAGCTGACTGTGTACTTTACCTCCTTTCTTCTGCCTTCTTAGCAAGCTTTTTAGACACCCAGAACCCTGGACTCTTTCCAATTCATATAAAGAGCATGTTTTCCGGTGGTTTAATAACATTTCAGGAATGTATGACTCAAACACTGCATTACTCTTGTAACTACTAACTCATCAATACCAGCCATCACCTTCAATGAATGTTCTGTGTTTTTTCAGGCTTTTTATTTTCCTTTAATGTGTTTTTGTTTTCTGGACCACTCCAGATGCAGAACTTTTCAATTCATGCATATCTTCTCCCTTCTCATGTAAGCAACTAGATCTTTATGCCTCCTTTCCACCCTGTAAACCACAGGATTCCTTCTAACCACATGTTGGTATTTTATCAACTCTATCTGGCAGTATCCATTACATAGCATTTAACCATTAAAAAATGAGCCCAGGCCATTAAATCAATTTTATTAGCACCATCTGTCCTCAGCTTACAACTTCTCCAGCTTGATCTGAGAACTTTCTGACTATTGCAAAGCTTAACAGGTAGACTCAAAATCTTGGAAGTTGTCTCTTCAAGCATGAGACAAGTATTTTATGTGAACATCCTTGTGTATGTCTTCATATGTATTCTCATTTCTGCATTTTAGTTCTTCAAGAACTGCACTCTCAGTAATAATGTTCTCATGGACTGATCACATGCTTTTAAAGGCATTGAGGAAAAAGTGTGTTTTGCAGGCAGATGCATTTTCAAGCATTAATGCCATGTCATTCTATACACTACAGCAAAGAACTACAAACGCTGCATCTGTGGCTACAAAGGGAGACACTTGAAGGAAGGGAAGGAAACTGAGCTTCTCGATCTTCTAAGAGACAAGAAATGACAAAGCCACACATATGCTCAACTTCAACAGATTTGTCTTAGGGAAAACGTTTTCTGACAAATTTGAGAATTGGCAGGCTTTTCCAGTCTCTAAGAATATCTCTTCTTTTTTGAAAAGCCATCACCACTTACCTTAAAACAAAAACAGATTATCAGAATAGTCTCATGAAGCCGAGCCTGTCAGGGACCCAGATCGTCAGGGAACCACATCATCAGTTTGGAACCAGCTGGGGTTTTCTTGCCTTTTTTTTTTTTTAAATCTCAGTTCAGTTTCTCTCATGTCAGTAACAGAGAGATCACAGTGTAAATGGTCCAACAGGATTATTGAAATGATGCTGATCTCATGTACAGGATTACAGGAAGTAGCTGGAAATGCTAACTACTGCATAGACCATCCAATAATAGTGATACTAGCAGATGTATGGGGAAACCTTCACAGTATCTCTATGAAATAATGCACCCTGGAGGAACTATAGTGGATACATTCTAGTGTTTACCAGGATACATCACAGAATCAATGAGGCTGGAAAAAAACTACAAGATCATCGAATCCAACCTATGACTGAACCTTGTCAACTAGACCATGGCACTCAGTGCCACATCCAGTCTTTCCTTAAACACTTCCATGGACAGTGACTCCACCACCTCCCTGGGCAGTCCATTCCAATTCTAAATATATTAAATATATATATATATATGATATTCTAAAATAGTATGAAATTTATTACCTTCTCCATTGAAATCAAACCAGAACCAGAACAGGAAGTGGAGTAGTTTTAATATTTAGTCATAAAAACTTTGCACATTTTCTTACTACAAATATCTTTTCAATAAAGCTATGCCATCATAAGCATAAAGCATGTCCTGGAGACAAGGTGGCTGCTCTCTTTCCTACTGTAACAACCATGTTTTTTTGTTTTTTTTTTTTTGCAACAACCACCTTTGCCATAATTTCATAAGATTCATAGAAAAAATTATGCGAAAGACTGTACTAGACATCCTCTTTTTAACATCTCTTTAGGCAAGCTAGTCAGCATATTTAAAAAGAAAATGCCCTATCTTCTTCATGGCTTGTGTGATTGATGAAGAACTATTATCACAAATATGATCAAGCAAACAGTTCTGGTCTCAGCAAGGCAGGATTCATCCACTAAGTGATTTTTTGTGTGGACCCAGATGTAAAGCAGATTCTTGCATTAAGAGCAGACTTGCTCAAGGTGCAGTTTGGATAAACACATCTTATCAGGATATACTGTTTTGCCAGCACATTTCCAACAGTCAGTATCCTTATATTGAAAGACCAATGAAATACAGCTAGTAATAAAATGGCATTAGAACTACCTTATATCTATATGATCAGCAAAGGGGGTCAGCAAGTCCCCTCTCCTAAACATCTTACCTGTTTTAGAAAAGATCAACTGTGAGAGATGCTGTGCAAGGGACTGAAGTGCTGAAGCTCCTCCAAGACAATCCACATCTGACACTAACAAAATGCTATGAAGACATGTTAAAGCTCTACACTGCACTGCATTCAGTCTGAAACAAATAAACAAAAAAAGCATTTGGAAAATCTCTTTGAAAACACATGTCGAAATATAAGAGTCTTCAATTAATTAAGGCTGTGATCTGGTGTGCAGTTCACAAAAGCATTTTTATTTCTTTATTCAAAATCATATGTCAGATCTGCCAGTATCCAGATCTTGACAGAAACCCAAAGATGGAAAATCCTTCTATGAGTACTAAGACAACTGAATATAAATGAAAAATAGTAAGAGAGACAATGAAATTCCTACTTTTTAATTAATGGTTTCCAAGACGGATTGTGCATACAGATGTCTAGAGCAACACTGTTCGGAAAAGCAGTTTTTTCAAGAATCTGAGGAGGGGAAAAAGAAATGTTTAGCAATAAAGCCTTTATTTTTTTATTTTTTGTTATAGTGTGTTTGGAAGGAAGACTGAAATTTTATCTTGATTCAAACAGATACTTCAAACTATGTATTTCAAAGTTTTCCAGGCAGCAAGTGTCTCACCTGCTAAAAACATCAGAATTTTGCTCCATCACTCAAATGGTGCAATTACACCCTGAGTTTAGCATAGCATATTTAAGGTATCCAACTCTACTGAACAACAGGTGATTTTCTAGGTTTCTGCTGTTCTTTCTCATTTGGCTCTTTCTTCTTACAGATTCCACAACAGAATTTTCAGATAGCTGCAAGTGTAGAAGACCTTGCCATGAAACTCCTGTTATTAAGTACAAAAAGCCTTCAAAGTTTTCATCTTGCACCTTGATGTCTTGTGTTGGAATTCTACAATGCTGCTGAACCAGCACAGTAACAATTCAAATAACAAACTCCATCTTTACAACCCCAAATAAAAATGAGCAAAACAACTCTAAAACAAAAACATCTTAATTCCTGTCAGTGTCAAATAATGTACTTCAGACACTTTGTATAAAACAGGGTAAGAGGAACTTGCACTTTTTCAGTGCTGACTGTTGCCATTCACACACGTTACTTTCACCTCATTTAGTTAATATAGAAATCTGGCAGTCGTGCTTCGCCAAAGTTTCCTTTCTTTTTGCAGGTGATCTTTTTCATGTCCAAATCAAGGAATAACAACCTTTGTATTTTTGGGGAAAAAAACCCAAATTAAAAGAAACTCCGCCAGCTTTCTGAAACACATGGCTTTTCTATTCCAACTTACATGAATTATTTAGGTCAAGACAGCTCATGCAATGATGCACCATCTCTAGGCAAAAAGAGTGAAGCTAAACTCATTAAAAAAATATTCCTTTCCTCCACGTGGACTGGGATAATTTCCTTGCCTAACCTGGGATACAAAGCAGGAATTAGGGGAAGATTGTGCCATGTGTTGGAAATAAAATAGAAGACACTACCTTCTTTGGAATGAGGTTGTTTAGAAACGCTGAGTGAACCTCATCAGAGAGGCACAGGGGTGTCATCAGCAGCCCCCCTCCCTCATTGTATGAGTTTTCCATGAACAAGTCACTTTCATCACTGCTGGAGAGTTCTTCCCACTCATCATCAGAGGGATCTGACAACACAAGACAGACTTGTAAATGTAACAGCCCTCACACAATACGCATCCTACTTCTCAATTGTACTCGACTCCACCTCCTAGCTTAGGAATCTTTAAGCTCTTGGGCTCTATGAACTCCTCACAAATCAAGTGCCACTATGCCACAGTTCTAAATATTTTATTAAAAAAATATTTTATTTTCACTCAGGCAACAAGTATTCTCAGGAGACAGGTTCTTCATACACGGGTACTTTAATCTCTGATATTAACAATGGGTCACTTTATCAAAAAGGGTATGGAAGAAACTTCATAAAGATTTACTAAGATTTTAACTTGGATTGCACCATTTCACTTTTTGAGGTAGATTCAAGCATGTGAAAACACTGGTTTAACCTAAACTGACTGCAGTTAGTAAAAAAGTTAAGGCAACTGTTTCCTCCAGCAATACTGAAGCCACAGACAGATGTCCTCTGCCTGGGCAGTAACAGGGCTGGATGAAGATGTTACTGTCTCCACAGCAACACCACTTGAAAGGAAACGATGACAGCAAAACAAGCCAAAGCAAGCTAAATAACCTCTGATAGTCATTTCAGGCAACATATTTCAAGTAAGTTAAACTAGGTTTATAGTCTTAAACCTGAACTAGATTTATACTTACAGATCTGCTGGTAGAGTAAGTCATGTAAGGGCAAGCACACATGGTGAGAGGAGTTGAGGTCGTATTACCTACAGGCTACTGTAAAGTGAATAATCTGTCCACAGCTAAAGCCAGTCTTGGCCTAACAAGCACAAGCTCAGTTCATCATTTATATTTAAACTGATATATCTATGTCCACAGGGTTCACACAGATTTATTTAAAGTTGCTTTAAACCTGGTTATATTTTAACTGGTGTTTGCCCAAGTCCTAAGTCTACAAGTTGGACTGATTCTCCTCTCTAGAAGATGAAAGCTCTGCCTGTGTATATAGGTCAGGACATTTAACTACTCTGATGAAAAAATATCAGATTCACCCCCAAGTAATTCTGTCTGACAACACAGATTCTCCTGAGCTGTAGTAGGTACTGTAGTAACTACAGTAACAGCCACGCCACTTCAGTGGCAAAAGGCAAAGTCACTTCAAATACAGCAAGAAAGATCTAAATTAATGCATTTCACCTGTACTGTGCAGAAATTAGGAATTTATTTGAAGGTCACAGGTATTGTTTATCTGATGCAAAGTAACTCATCAAGCTGCAGCAACTTGACCACACAGGCATCTTCTGTTACTTGTGGTAATCTCCAGTTAATTCTGCAGCCATAATATGCTGGTGTTAACAGCCTTTGCATGAGAAAATGGTTGTCTTTTATTCTTTACCAGGCCACGGCAGCAAGACACATGAAAACAAAGCAGACATCCCCTTAAGTCTCTTGCCTCTTGCAGAAAAGTTCCATGTGAATCTTTTTAAAGCAAACAAAAATCTCCTTTGAAAACTAAATGATAAGGATATGAGCTGACAATGCAACTCAGCAACAACAAAGACAGCAGTGATCAGGGCAGAGCAGGAACTGGGATCTAGAACATTGGCCTGTAACTATGATCAGGTTTCTTGTAATGTTCTGGGAAACACAGAGGCATTTCCAATGGCAATCCCATCTTAACTAGCACTGGTAACCTCTGAACTACAGCAGTGCTGGAGTCTCCTGGCTTCCTGCTCACGTCCCCATCAAGGGGAGAGCACTCTGCTTCTCCCAGACACCGGCCAGTGCTCAGTAAAACACATCTCTTGCCAGCCTGGTTATTTCCCTCAGCTCTGTAGCAAGCCAAGTGTTTGTATGAACTCAGCATAATGGCTAAAGCTATTTTAGTCCTCAAATAACTTGAAAATTAAATGAACAGCTGCTTCTGGATTCCTCTTAATTTCTACAGCCTATGTTTCTGTCTGCCCATGAATGGGTAAAGTACTGCAGTGAAATACAACACAATCAACCTTCCATTACACTGAGTGAATGGCAGAATATGCAGCTTATCCACAAGAGATTTTCCAATTAAAGGGGAAAGCTTATGAATTACAGCTCATTAGATGAGAAACACAGTTATGAAAGGAGCTTCATACACTAGGTACAGAATTTCCTTGTGCTATAAGAGGAAAAAAAATCACCATTGGGAGTAACTGGGTATTACTGTGGATTTTATTAGAACCTCAAAGTTTTACTCAGTTATCTCCTAGAAAATCACTTCTGCATCAGGATAAAACTGTAACACCAACAGAAGTTTTCAGGTGTTGGAGGGTTTAGGGGATTAATTTTGTTTGGTTATTGGCGTTTTTAAATAGAATTTGATAATCTCTCATTTGTTTTCCTCAACATTAGGAGAAAAGCTATCAAAGCTGAGTAACAGAGTTCCTAAAAGATATAGAATATCTATTTCCTAGTCCCCTCCAAACAACAGCCTTTCTTCCTCCTCAAAAAAGCTCATAAAGGCAGAACTCTGAAAGCCTAAATCTACATTGTTGCCAGAGTTGCATGCAAAAGTATCCACTCCTAATTTTGCAACACTTCTAGTATCAACACTAAATCAAAGCTACAAGATTTATCTGCTTTAAAAAAAAAAAAATCAATGGCCCCATCCTGCAATAAGATTCACACACGTATTGTATCAGAAGAACACTCAGACCACACTCTAACTGAACAAAGATTTTGCTGTAACACTTCAGGAAATATCTCTATGCCGCAAGTGCTTTTTTGTTTGTAATTAAATGTTGGCACATAGTAGTACCATGCAAAAAAACCATTTAAGTCTCATAAATAATTTAAATGAAAAAAATCACTTGAAATCGTAATAGAAATTACAATCTAATCTGCCCCCCAAATGAGGATATCAGGGACAATACGTTTGCCTTTAAAAGCCAGGATGACTAAATGTGAGCTGCTGAAAAACAAAACACACCACAACACTTGCAATGAAAGAGATTCCTACAAACCTTCACTGCAGCACATATTAACAATGATTTCCAGAGCAGTCTGCTGAGCTGTCAGTAAAGCTGTCACTTCTTTCAGTTCCCACTTATCAGACTAAAAAATAAAAACATGAACCAATTTTGATTTTGTAAAACAACATTTAAGTGCAACTTAAATTACCCAAGCTGTCAGCTAAAAATATAGTCCAGCCATTTTCTCTTCTTATTCTACACTAAAACTCGAAAGAAAACCCACAAAACCAAGAGGCGTAAGCTACCACATTTCTGTTGGATGTTCCAGAGCAAATTTTATCTCCAAGAAATGCCAGCTGCACTATAGCTGTAAGAGAAACAGTTATCTAAAGCCCTAACAGAAACATGTATTCCTGTAACCCTTTTCCCATACACAACAGTGCATGCATCTGTAAACCTCTAAGCCACCTCCGCTCATGACTGAACGGTTACAAATCTCACTTGCCGTAAACAGAAATCAAAATTCCTGCAGTGGCTGCAGGCAGAAGTGTCAGATAAGCCTATACCTTCCACTGGAGGAAAACCATGGAAATGCACCTTCCTGGTGTGCTGTGCAATTTGGTCACGTTGGAACAAGTTGTGCTGAAATTTTCCATGCTCATCTTTGAGGTTTTAGCTAAAATAGCCAAGCTGTTTGGGAACCAGTATTAGTAACACTCATAGGTCATTTCCTCTGGCCAGTGCTGAGTCAAGACTAGTCCAACACTCAGCCAAAAGCCCCAAGCCCGATAGCCAGGCAGAAGCACTTACTGGAAGTAAATCTGAAACATCATTTTCTCTCCTGAGTTTTCTTTTTGGTATTTCTTCCATGTTATCATCTTCACTCAAAACACAGTTGTCCACCACATCACTCATGTTTTCCTCTGTTTCTGCTTCCACAGCAAGTTTTAACCTGTTTTTTTCAGCTTCATTCATACGAATAATTGTTTCACCAGCGTCTATTGCCAGTGATTCTGAGAAAATCTTCAGGATTGCATTAACCATGCTTCCCAGGCTGCCTGGTGGAATGGTATCCTTGATATTCCAGATAGTGCCTAAATAGGAGATAACCAAAATATGAAAATTACTGAAGTACTCAATTCTCTGTAATAGCCAGATATTTTGTAAGGACACAGCCTGCGTTACTTAAAATATGCAGTGATTATATTCAGTACAAATGTCGAAGTCTTTGCTCCACAGATTTGTATTTTTTTCTGTTTAGCATTTCATATACTCATCTGTAATAACTATGTTATGCCCACATCTTAAGCTCAAGTAAATTTCAGCACATAAATAATTACAGAATATTTATGTGGACTGGCCTTGGTCTTACTTTGTACCTGATGACAAATTCACATGAGAGAACTATTTTCTAAGGAGTCTCAAAATTAATTTATTACACTCCAGTATCAAAAATCATCACAGTTGAGTATTTGAGGCAGCAAGAAGAATGCAAGGTAGAGAATCTGAGTTAAAAATCTACACCTATTAAGATCAAAACTACTCCTGTACCACTTATTATTGACTTATTTCACTGTTGAAAATCAAAAGAGCAGCTAAAATGCTTTATCACCCTGATCAGGGACTGAATTAAGAGTGAAGCATTTAAGGCAGTTTCTAAACTAATTGTAAATATCTGTTTGCAGTTCCAAAAGGCATTTATAACCTCATGAACCGTCTGTATAGGCTTTGACAGTCAGATGTCCAGACTTCAGTAGAGAAGACTAACCTCTCTGTCCTTCCCACCTCCCTTTACCTGCCATGCTCCCCATCACAGAGCAGTGAACACCCTTGAGCACCGTACCTGCTATCAGTGTTCTCAGCAGGACATGCTTCATTGTGCTCTCTGGACACAACATCACTGTTTCCAATACTTGCTGTGCAGAAGCATTAAATGAAGAAAGAAGGTCTGGATTATCTTCTGTCACTGCCTGCAAGCAGTTTGCTACACCAAACAATAAGAACAAACATCATTAACAAACTCAACAGTAGCTTTCACTCTCCTAATGAAAAAGCATTTTTACTGTAAGCTGGAGTAATGAAACATTGACAGGAAAAAAAAAAATTCATGCAGCATCATGTTGTAATGGTACAACACCGTCTCTCACAATCTGTGTTTTAGATTAAAAGACACTCTATGGCAAACCTGTACACAAAACAGATGAGGACAATAACACATCAGACATGGAATTGGCTGTATTAGTTTCAGCTACTCAAAAATAGATTTCTCCTTTGTATACTGGGTAGTGACAACATAAAAATGTTGGGAACACACTCACCTGTATGACCATTATAAGACTACAATAACAAAGTACTAATAAAAACACACTGAAAGTGACAGGAGTTTTTGGGGTTTTTTTAGATGGACTATGTCCTTTGCTCAACAAATTAAACCCTCCATTACCAAAACCTGCAAACAAAATTAAAAACACAGCCCCCCTCTAGAGCCTTCTTTCCACAAAATTTTTCCTCCCATGTAACCACCAATAAGCCATTCTCCTTTGGACTGAAAACAAGCACAACAGATACAAACTTCTGAATTATGTGCTGTTCAAAAATGAATTTGAAATCTTATATTCAGTGCAAAGCTCAGCAATGCTAAGGCAGGTGCATTATGCAATGCCTGTAACATCAATGTTACATTTATACAGTAAAGAAAAAAAAAGTATCTTTAAGTCCTTATCTTCTCTTTTTACCACTTACCTACTGAAATAGCCAGATCCACATTTGTGGAAAATTTCTTCATGTAATGTAACACAGCCTCCAGACACCCTTCTTTATTGAATATGTACACAGCGGTATTGTTGCATTCACTAATGTATGAAAAAGATTAATTAAAACACTTTTCCCAGGAAAAAAATACCATAACAATATTTTAAGTACCCCATACTCACTATTACTCACAGTTGTAAAAACTATGTAAGAATTATGCATTAGTCAAAGAGCTATTCTTCATTACTGAGGTTATGATCAACTTTATATAAATATGCTGAAAGAGAAACTGCAAAATCCCGGACACAGTTGGCTTCTGCCAGCTGCTTCCTCACACACAGTGTTTGGGAGTTTATTTGGGAGCCTAAATACAGATATGGACAGGTCCAGCCAGAGAGTGAAAGGCAGCTGCAGGCTACAAGCCAGTCCAAGGCTTTCTGCAGCCATAGAAAACTTCACCCACAAACCCAGTGACCAGAGCTGCTGCCTCTTGCATCGATATTCATTCACTCCATAAAATGACTGCTCTTATCATTCAGACATGCATTTACTTTAATTATATAACAGTGGGATCTGTGTTTCTTCCAAGTTTTCCACAGCTATTCCCTTTTTTAAACTAATATATTGATACAAGACTAATTCAAACTAAAAAAGCATGGGACCTAACCAGCTACAAGGATCTTCAAGTATTTACTTTTGGAAATATTATGTCTCAGCACCAATGCCAGCCCAAATCTTATCAGTACTGAACTTAGCAACGAAGTCAGTAGTTCATTGCCACAAAGTTCAAAATACAGAGGTGATTTATATCACACTTAATGATTATAGTTCCTGTTCCAAAGCAGTGACTACAAAAGCCAAAAAAAAAATGAACACACAACATTGTTGAGTCAGAGTCACAAAGGGTCATGTATTCTGTGCAAGGTGCTGAGCAAGCAGCTTCTCTACTGTTCTAGACTCCAATCCCTAAAAAAAAATATCCCAATTTAGAAATAAGGCCTCAAGCCAGCAGCCATGCCACACAGCCAGGCACAGAGGCAACTCCACTGAAACACTGTACAACACTAAAGAAAATCCTGTATGCACCAAGGTGTATAACGATGTGGAGCTGTTAAAACATGAAGAGAAACAACACAAAATTCAAGAAAAGCTTTCAGAATAAGTTTGTATCACTTCAATGTTCATAGTCATTTCTGTATTAAGTGTTGCCATTTCTCTTCCTTCACCCAGTGTTTCCAATGTAAACTATTAATTGAACAATTCACATTATTTCTCACATAATTAAGTAGATTTGTATCAGTGTCTCAGTAACTAAGGGATAGTTGGTCCCAATATTTAATATTAGCTTTTGGGATGACCTGTAGAGGGAGGAAGTAGTGTAAGAAGTCCTCATATTCCCAGAGCATTGGAGTCCACTGATCAGAATTTAATTTTCTCCATCTCTCATCACACAGTAAAGATCTACAGGAACTGCATGCAAGACATCACAACCCAAACTGCATCTCAGACTGTGACAGAACATGTCCAGAAAACAAAATCAGAACTCAGGATGAACAACCAATAGAAAAAAAATTTGTCACTCTCCTAAAACTAATGACCAACTTTATGGACTTTCAGAATCCTTAATTTAAAAAAGTAATTTATGGCAGAAGACAAACTTGTATTTCAGATCAGATTAGGGCTCACCATTATTAAAGGAAAGCACACATAGGAGCAACACAATCAGAAATCAGAATCAGCAACTGGATACATCTTCCCATGCCAGGACAGTCATTTCTTTTCTGCCTCAATTACCAGGCTGCTTTTCAGGAATAATTTAATTTAGCTCTTTTAAAAGCCCTGGGTTTACACAGCACTTACCATATATTCCACAGCAAATTAATAGCTTCATTGGCTATGTCTTCAATATAATTTTTGTTTGTCTCTCTGCATTTCTTTGGAGAGAGCTGGTTAGCATCTAGCTCAGTGCAACACTACAACAAAACAAGAGAACCAGGGTTGGGAAACAAGCCACAGTGTTTATTACCAGAAAACCTGACTAGTTTCCTATTCTCTGAGAAAATTTACCTACAATGGAATTGAATCATTGGTAACTTTTCTCTTGTAGAAAGACTCTTATACTACTCACTTTGCATTCAGTAGTCTTTAGAAGCATTTTTTTAATTAAAAAAAAAACTTGACAGTTTTAGAACCCTAAGTGCTGTTTCTTGCTAATAGTCTGTATGCAATTGTCAACAGTTCTTTCTAATCATAAAGATTAATTCAGCTAATATCTTGCTATGCTTTACAATAATGCTATTACTCAATTTAAAATGGGGAAGAAACATACAGAAAACGGTGGTATTGCTCAAGGCTGCTCATACAAAGACAGCAGGTGACAGAATTCAATGCAATTTCCAAACTGCACTGCAACACCTGGACCAAACAAAGAATAGGTATTCAGTACAAGTTATCCTACAGTACCCAGCTGTAAACCCAAGTTTTCATTTAGATAGAACTGCTCACCAAAAAAACCTCACTAGAAAAATGCTGCAACATAAATGTTGGACCTGGATTTTGACTGACACAATAAACTGGTCTTGACTGAAGCTCCGGACCCAAAATCTCCAGATCTTTCATGCAAAAATCATCCCAGGGTGCAAGACTCACCACAGACCAAAATTATCTGATCAGGAAACAGAAGCTAGTGATGTGAAATCTCTGGAATAATTTCTGTACCATTAAATCTATTGAAAATTCTTTTAAAAGATCTTTCAAATATCTTAATAACAGCTAAAAAAATTGAATTATTTTTTAAGTGGGATAATTCAATGGTTAGATCAGTTTTAAAATCAGAATAAACACACCTCTTTCAGAAGTGCAACAAGGGGTGTCATAATGTCATTTGTCACCATGTCATCACAGACTTCATATCCTCCACAAGCGCTCAGATTTCTGGGGAAAACAAAAAAAATAATGCTTAGGATCAGATCAATACTTTCCAGGAGTGTTTAAAAAAACCCCATGTATTCTATATTCTCATCTAAAGGTTATGTTACTTTTTGGTTTAAAATCAATTTGTTCAATCAGTAACTCTAGTCTTCTATCTCCCTAACACAAATTAATAACTTTGGTGGTAGGAAAAGAATATTTTCACTTACTTGTCAAGCGTAACAAGAAGGCTTATGGGTACTAAAACATCAAGACACAAAATGCCATATGAACTGCATTCAAGTTCTCTATATTTCTTCATAAAGCCATGTATTTCCAACATAAAGCCTGCTGCTGACATTAGAGTCTCATGGAGCAAGAAAAGCCCCTCTCTTGTAGACTTCGGCTGATGTGGGCATAACTACTGAGGCCAGAGTTAAAGCAAGAGAGGCTGGCATTCAAGTTCATGGCTGTCAACAACAAAACCCTACTGTTTTCTCTCCTGTTCCAGGATTACCCTATTCCAGCTGCTTACCGGAGAGCACCTGCGGCTGTTTCCCGAACAGCCAAGCTGTGATCCATCAGCAACGGCCCCAAACACCGCACAACGTCCCTCTGCAGGAAGGCTGGGATGACGTGCTTCTGCTGCAACAGCTTGGAAATACTGGCACAGGCATATTCTCTCACTTCAGCACTTGGATGCTGCAGCTGAGGAGACACAAACAGGGTAGATCGGGTTGCGGGAAAAGGTAGCTGGAAGTTTTTCTGATCCTGAATGGAAGCAAGAGCTTTTAACTTCCATGAACCTTTACAAATCTTTGCCTGGGTTATGTGTGTTAACCATATGACTAGATAAATACTATTCTGGGTGTTTAACAAGAGAGCCACAGTCCAGACACAGATTTGACACTAGCTGGCACTGGTGAGACCCCATATCTACATTCAATTACCAAGTATTTAAAAGAAAAAAAGATAAATGGGGGGGATACAAAACACATGCCACCATAAAGAAAAACAGAAGAATCAAAAAATAATAATAAAAAAATATAGCCTTTAGATTAAAAGTATCTGCTTAAAAACAAGAAGCAAGTGTTCTCTACGTCCATAAGATGATGCTGACTTGTGCTGTAACAGGGCTTTAGGTGAGACGTAAGAATTGCAGATTATAAAAATAATACAACAGCAGAAGTGTATATCCTGGAAGGTGACAGAGTTTGTTGAAAATCTAACAGAAAATGTAAACGTCTGATGAAGAGCAGAGCAGAAGAGTGGTACATCACATCCTACCTCACTGACACTGACAGAATCCCTCAGCTCATCCTCACCTGAGCCTTTATATACTTTCTCTCTCAATTTTAAGACTAAAACAGGTCAGTCCTGAAGAGTAATCAAGCAGTGATTTGTTCAATGAGTTCAGTTCGATGAAGTGAACAATGGAAATTCAATTACTTGAGGGGAAAACAGATTTTTGCTTCTGATTCTAAAGTCACGTGTGCAGGAGGAGGTTTACATCCCTTTTCATCTGCAATGCTTAACTCAGAACCAGGACTGCGGCCTACAAGTGGCTAAACCCAGTCTTTTTTCCGCATTTTCCATCAGTTATCCCTCACGCATGGCTCACGGACTCATCGCTCTGGCCACCTGTAGAACTCTCCGGGCGGGGGGAGGGGGGGGCGAACAAACCCAAGCACCGCAGGAGCCGCCTCCCAGCCCCCCTGGGGCGCGGCGCTGCCTCCCGCCCGCCGCACAAGGCGAGCCCGGGGCCGCGGGTGCCGGCGCTGCCGGGGCCGCCCCGCCGAGCCGCGGGCGCAGCCGTGACGCCGGGAGAGCGACGGGCGGCGGGAGGGAGGGAGGGGCGGGCGGCGGCCCCGCCGGGCTGCTCGGCTTCTCCCCGCCGCGGGGGGCGGCTCCGCGCCCGGCCCCGCGCCCGACACCGCGGGGGGCGAGCCCAGACCTCTCTCCCCCCACACCCGCAGCCGCCGCCCCGAGAGAAGGTCGCGCCCCGCCCGCACCTTGTCCAGCAGCTCCGCCGCCGGCTCCTCCTCGGGGCCGGGCTCGCCTTGCTGTGGCTGCCCGGTGCCGGCGGGGCCGAGGGCCGGCCGGCGGAACCGCCGCGCTCGGCTCTTGCCCATGGCTGCGCTCGGCGCCGGCGCGCCCACGTGTGCGGCCCCGCGCAGGCGCTGCCCCCGCCCCGCGCCCCTCCCGCACCCGGCGGGGCGGCACCGCCGAGCGCAGCCCGCACCCCGAACCGGCACCGGCACCACCGCTCCTGCCCGGGGATACTCTGCATGTTTCCCCAGGTCAACAACTCAGTAAATGTCACATGAAACAGTTTCCTCCAAGAGCACTTACAGAGGCAGGATTGACCTGTAGGGTGGAAACCTGGCAGGGGGTTTCTCTCTGATGTAGTTCTTATAATCTAAGATACTGACATCAAATACAGGAAATGTTGGTCCGGTATGAAAGTTAGACTTCAGCTACAAATTTTCTTTTAAGTTCTTCTGCGTTCGCTGGAGATCTGCGTTTGCACGGTACAAAAGAAGATAACGTTTTGTTTATACAAAGGATTTATTTTATACACATTTACCTACAAAATATACAGCAGTTAAAAATAATGCGTGGGCAGAACAATTACTGGAAAAAAAATCCAGAAGACAATTCTTAATGTCTTAACTGACAAAGTTACATCAATAGGCTGCCTTTAAAAGCCAGTCTACCCTGTAGTAGGAGTTACTGAAGTTGCAAGAGCTTTGCAGTTAGAGTCAATTTAAGGAGTTCAAAACAATTAAAAAGGCACCTTGAACAACTTAAACTTAAAACTTTACAGTTTTAGCTATTCAAAAGTTACACTTTAAGCATATTTCATCCACACCTCGTTGTTAACACTCTGAATAACAATTTTTGTTATTTTCTTGTGGCACTCTTGATACTTTCTTTACCAAATCTGAAGTTATACATTTGCAATACTATTTTCATGTTCTGACTATCACAGCATAAAAATCCCCTCAGAATGTTTGGGTGGACTTTAGATACAGTACAACCTTGCAATCAGGAAGATACAAGCATGTTTAAGACAACTTTTAAAATATTAAAATCTTAAAATAGCAGTGTTTTGAACCAGATCAAACAAGGAACTATGTATGACCACAAGGAAAGTGGCTGGTGCACTATATACACAACTCGACAAATGTGATCCTTGATATATTTGTGAAGTTCTTAAACAGTAAGACCAGTTTTCTCCAGCACAGACAGACCGTCTTCCTGCGAGCCTTTTAACCAGTTCCAAAAAGAGTGACCAGGAGACAAGGACAGCTGTAATGAGGAAGTGTGCTCATAAAACATCAGGAGACTGGGAAGTGTTCCTCTCAATACGCTTCACGGGAACAAAGGAATCCATAAAGCAAATATTACTTCTTTTCCTGAACATTGGCATTGATGTGCTATTTACAATAGCTTACAAAGACATGTAACACAAATGAGGTTTCATTTTCAAGTTCAACTTCATTGCCGATTAACATACTTCACTTGTATGTTCTGTTCTAGCCGAAGTAAAAAAGTGAGACTAATACTGAAAAAGAGGTAATCAGAAGTAGCAAAAGCACTGATAATGTGATAACAAAGAATTTGGATAAATATTCAAGAAAGTAATATTGCACACTTTCACTGTCAACTGTGTTAAGACTTTCACTCCCAGGCAGTGACAACCAGTCCCATTTGTTTTTTTGCTGTCATACTACCTTAAAAAAGGTCATTTTTGGTTTCCATGGCAGTGGAAAAAACTGAAGGAAGACAGCCCTTATTGAACGTGAGGCCTAGGTTTCAATATTAATTTTCCAGTCTGCAAGAGAGACAAAAAAAAAAGGAAGAGTTTAAACCCTGAAAGTTGAGCCCAACAATTGCATTTCAAGTTCAATATTACAAGCTGAGTTTAAAACAACACAGAGAACAATACTGAGCATTTCACAGTCCAGGCACACAGAATTTGTTGAGGTGTATACAAATGCTGTTCAGAAAAAAACCCGTGTGTCTTTTTGCATTGTTTGCTTTTTTTTTTTATACAAACAAGGTTTAGGCAATGAACCACCAACACTTACATCATCACAGGACATATTATATTCTGCCAAAACAGTTCGACATCGGGCTGCTATACTGTGTGGATTGTGTCAAGGAAAGCAGCTAACACTTGTACACAGAGTAAGTAAAAACTGAAACAGCAGCATTAGCACAAGCTTCAAGAACAGCAGTAACTACAACACTTGTAACTTGACAAACACAATTAAAGGATACATTGATGGTGCCACCACTCTTTTATGTATTCCAGCAAAGAACAAGCCTATTAGGGTAATACAGCTAATTGTGAAAAACGGGTGATTCCAAAGTGATGTGAAAAACGACACCTAGGAAAGAAATTGGATTAGTCTCACTATATACTTTCTATTAGTCTCACTATATACTTTCTAAAACATACAGAAAGTTGCTGCCTAGTTCGCTTAACTAAAAATAAAATACTGCTCCGAGCCCTCTCCAAGTACTTGTGAACAATTCTTCCTATCAGCACTCGAGGTGTACCATTTTCGTAGGCAATGCCCCAGGACATATTTACAACAATTCCAGACAGCTTGAGAGCTTTACTAAAAACTATCTTCCAGTTTCACATAAGAACCACATTTAGCCTTTCAGTTTTCAATATACCACTTGACTGCAGCATCAAGCTATGAAACAGAAAATGTTCAGCATTAGCCTGATCTTACCTTCTGTGTCTCCGGGTCTATTAACCAGTTCCAAGCCCCAGTTGCTGTGCAAACTGATACCACTATCAGAATCACTGATGAAGAAAAGAACAAGAGTCATAAACAGTATACCTCACTCATATTTAAAAGCATTTCATTTTTAGCAGCAACTTTTAAGCTTGTATTTCTTTTCCTACTTCTGCATGAGAAAAAGCTTCTAATTGGAGGCAGAAATGAAAATAGGTGAAAAAACTACCAGCAAGTGAAACTGTAAAGATTCTGTACAAGTTGGTACCAAAATCTAAATTCTCAAGCAGAAATATCCCAATACTTTGAAGAAACCAAAGTTTCTAAAAAAACATGAACATTAAAAACATATGTTGGTAGGTAAAGTAAGATTTGTACCAAATGTTCACTTTGCTATTTGAGCTAGTGCAGTTTGGGCAACAGGAACGCAGAACCATCAAACTGCAGAGCTAAAGTTTCTCTCCCTCAAGCTCATCTGCATAAGGAAAGCCTGAGGCAGTTTCAGTGGCACAAGTTGTGTTCCGCTCCCCATCCCAATTGACACAATTACAAGCAAGGAAGAGGCAAAAAAAAATAAACAGGAGTCAGGAAGCATGTTAACATTAGCATGTGAATATTAGCAAAAACCTCTACACATCCAGAATGGCTTAGGAAAAATAATCAATTCACTGTAAATGAATAATACTAGATACATATCAGATTAACACAGCATCCTGGACTGATTTTGAGAGACTACAAAGGGTTGGGGAACTGGGGTTGATGGAAAAAGAAAACAGAAACAAATATAAATGTAGAGAAAACTCGTATTATATTGCACATCCATAAAGCCTTGCAGCTTTCATCACAGTTCTGAGTGTTTTCTCTGGAGCCTGAAGCTCTGGATGCAAATAAAGTTTTTACTGGAAAGGAAATGGGCAGGGCAGGGCAACAAATGAAAGCCACCAGATCAAACAACAACAAAATAAAAGGTAGAGAAGGCCCAGAGTTGGCAGCCTTTAGGATCATAGGAAAGAACCTGGAAACAAAACTATTCACTAAATACTACTTTTAGGTTTGCAAGACTGCTATAATTTGCTATTGAGTTGCATATTCCTTACAGATATTACAAATTTAAAAAAATAGGAACTCTGACAAGTTTTCAAAAGAAAGTTGAAAAAGATCTATCAAAAGCATAAAGCTTCTCTATAAAACACAATTTTTTCAGAATAACAGGAAGAAAAGTAAACATTGAGTTAAATACCCTGTTACAATTACAGTTGAAAGTTCCTCTTTTATGTGAATTGCAAAACTAGGAAAATGAGTAGTTTGGGAAAAAAACACGAATTACAATTGAATACAATACTAGTTATGCAAACCTCATTTAAATATGCCTAGAAGTTTTCAGTATTTTTTTAATCACATATGACAGAAAATAACAATTCCGGAAGCCAAATGCATTCCTACAGTAGGTATGCACAAGTTTGGCAGATGTAAATATAAATATCTTCCTGCCTCCTGATTGCTCTGAAACAAGGGAGCTTGAGGTGGTGGTAGTGGTGTTTGGTTTTGCTTTCTAAGTAGTTGTTCCTTCATTCAAAATTGGCCTCTCAGGAGGAAAGATGCTATTTTATATGTGCTAAAAAACATCAGTATTCTTGATTCAGCAGAATCTCACAACAAAAAAAGTTGAGTGTTTCCACCATAGACTACTGATTCAGAAGTTGGCAGCATATCTGTGGTATCTTTTGACCTTCCTCCTCCTTCAAACTTCCCTGTTAGAACAGAGCTGAAGACATATGCTGCCTTTATGGCACACTGCTGTAACTTCTTCACCTTCAGTTTTATAGGGACTATCTCACATAAACTATATTTAGTTTATGTAACTATAGTGACTATCAGAGAAGTTTGAGTCTCAAAAATAAAGCCCAAAACAATATAAAAACCAGAATAAAACAGAAAAAAAAAAAACACAACAACTTACTGTTCCAACTATTTCCAGAATAATTCAGCCTTAAACCAATTCAATCTTAACGTCATTTTTCTAACTCTGGCTAAAGTATTAGTTTATTATCCTGTATTAACTTGTTGCAGTCTATGCAATGTATGCCACAAATTTTAAAGAAAACTTAAATACAGATTTTTGTTTGGGCAAACTTAAATCAGAGATACACACTGGTAAATCTAAAAAGCTTAAAAGACAGAATCCTATTTATCCCTTGGAACATCAAACTTACTTCTCCAACGTCCTGTAGCTGGTTGCAAACATGCAATATATTCAGTTAGTCTTCTTTCAAAAGCTTTGAGATCTGGAGAGGATGTATATTAAGCATAATTAGATCTTCATCTATTTAGTCACATTTTAATGCAAAAGATGAAAGGAATTCACTTTTCCCCTGTGCATACCCACTTAAACAGGCAGAGAAAACCAACGCAATGATCATTTAGATGCAATAAAAGCCCAGGCAAAGTAGTTTTGCTCAACTTCAAGTAAAAAGTACAGTGACGGAGCTAAACTAAATGCAAGAAACATTCCCACTTACAAAAAAACAAATCAATATAGATGGGAAATCAGACTATTTTAGACATTTTTAAAAACACTGAGAGTTAGATTCTAAGTAGCTTAAACTGCCCCTCAAAAAAAAAAAGTATCACATTTTGGACTATTAAGTACATCAGGAAACCATTATGTTCTATTGTCTATATAACAGCAATTTTAAAAGAAGGTTAGCCATTTGCCAGCTGTTCAAGGGATTATTTGTAGTAGTGTGGCTTTGCTGA